AAAACAAAATCTATAAACTAATGAAAAACTGAAAAACTATCTGTCAAACTCTTCTCAATGCTTCAAGAACATACAAAAACCAACACAAAATTTCTATTAAGGACAAAGACTGCAAATAGAGATTAAACAAAAATTAAATAAAAAAGAAAAGAAAAAAAATATATACATAATTATATATATATATATATATATATATATATAAAAATATATTGCAATATTTGTAACACTTCTTTGTTGATTGATTTCCAATTCTGATTTGGCCTTGATTCAAACAACCAAGAAATATGTTTAAGTTTAGTTAGAAGTTCCCAAACTTGGGTTTGGCCCACACCCACAGCCGGACCGAACCGTACAGAATTTGGAGATCAGAACCCCAGACCGGACCCATACATACATACACCGACACATACATACACACATACGTACACACATATAAGCCCATAGACCAACCAGGAACCCAACGAACAGAGCATCGGCGATAGAATGAATAACACATGAACGATAACGATAATTGAGAAACAATAACAAACAAACAAGCAGAGAACCAACAGAAAACCCAGAACAATACGAATCAAAGCAAAATAAAAGATACCAGATAACACGAGTAATCCACATATAGCAAAATAACTTAGTATTACGCCCAATGAGATATGACAAAACCAAAAATAAAAAAAATCACTCACAAAATAAAACAAAAGCAAAACCAAAAAAAAAAAAACAAAAAAACCACAAAAAAAGGAAATGTTGTTAAGATTAAAATGAAATGTTTTATAATCGTTATTCAATAAAAATAAAAAAAAATAATTTACCAAAAAAAAATCATCCATCAACCGAACAAATACATCCAAAGACGAATGCTAGCCCGAAAATTAACTTGTTCGAGCAGTATGTAGATGTAAATAGTCCTCTCCAGCCCTAAATACGTATATATATAGGGGGGGGGGCTTCTAGCCACCCCTCTTCCACCCCCGTTCATCCCCTAGCCCAGTTTCCCTTTCCACCCATCCACCAACGCCCTCTAGCCTAGCTTGTGTTTTGTATCTAAGTACTCGTATGTTTTGGGTAGATCTTTGCAGAGGGAGTGGCAAGTATCTAGCCATAGAATCATTATCATAACCATAAGTCTAGAATCTAGTTAAATACTCGTAGACCTAAGAGCCCACCAGGTCTTCCCCCTCTTCCCGAACCCCCTCCCACTTACACAACCACATTCAATATCTATATTTATATATATATATCTTATAACCATCATATAAGGAGCACATTCTCTTACGGATTCTCTCTCTAAGCGTAGTCTTAGCTCTATTGCCTTACCCCTCTCTCTATCAAACACACACACCCAGACACACACACACACACACACACACACATACACACACCGACACTATCGCCGTCTTATACATGAGAAGGCGAAAAAAAAAGAAACAGAAACTATAAAAAAGATATTGAAATTTTATTGAAAATCTTGGAAAGTTGAAGTCCGAACAGGTCAAGCCCAGGTCCAGGCCCAGGCAAGCCAGGCGGTGCTGAACCCAGCGAACGGTGAGTGTGAATACCCCTCGAGTCCAGCCCCGCCCCGCCCCGCCCCGAACCGACCCGCCCCACTCCGCCCCGCCCCTCTCCACGATTACCACCCGATTTTATCTCCTAATTTCTCTGTCTCTGTCTCTCTCTCTAAATCTATATATCTCGTATCTGTACCTATGTATCTTCTGCCCTCTCTGCATAGAGGGGGTAGTCTCAATTTTATTTTGAATATATCTCTGTCTGAAACTCTCTTTTGATTTGACTTTGGTACTATTCGTATTCGTTTTTTGTATGCCTCCATTTTGCCTATCCATTTTGGTTTTGCCTATCTATATCTACTATCCCCGGATATACGTATGCTTAGCGCACAACTACTCGTATATCTGTACTGATCTATGACTATATATATATGTATATGTACTCGTATATGATATGTGATAATATAATAATCGTTTATGGAATATTTTGTAAACTTTTGCTTACATTCTCCCCCTCTAAATGTAAACAAAACCAAATGTAAGAAACGCTTCAGCGCTCAGTCTGCTCAGCCTGCACCTGCCGACGCTCCTGCGCTCCTGTTCCCGTTACAGCTACCAGCTACCAGCAATCGCTATCGTTATCGTTATCGTTATCGTTACGCTATTGCTATCGCTATCGCCATTAGTGCTATCGCAACCAGCAATGCCCAGCAGCAGCAGAAACAGCAACTGCAACATCAACATCAGCAACTGCAACTGCAAGTGCAGTTGCAACTGCAACTGCAACGACAGCAGCATCAGCATCAGCAGTATCAGCAACAGCAACAACCAGAACAAGAACAAGAACAAATCAAGAACAAGAAAATATAACATCAAGAAAACCGCAACTATCAAAAGAACAAGAACAACCCGCAGCATTTGGCAGCTCTCGAAAGCTCCGGCTCAGGCTGTACGGCTCCTGCTTCTGCTCCTAAGTCCCGTTTCCCTGTGCTTCCCGATTCCGGTGCATGTGCATTCTGTTGCTATATCCAATCGACGTCGATATCCAAACCACGATTGAGATTGAGATTGCGACCGAACCAGAATCAGATCAATATATATATATATATATATCTACACACATATATATAAATTGAAGCGCAATCAACCAGCAAAGCAAAGCAAATTAACGCAAATCAAACGCAAATTAAAGTAAATCAAAGCTAAATCCAGCATAAGAAAAGCAAAGACAAAAACCTAACCTACTCGTAAACCAAAAGCAAAGAAAAACATAAGCAAAAGCAAAAACACAAGGGCGCACGCTTAGCACATTTGCATATATACAACTTAATACTTGCTACTCCTGTATCTCCAATATCACAACCCCTCCACCATCCCCACCCACAAGACCACCCCCACACACCATACGCCGCCGCCACCCAGAGAATACACACAAACACCCACACAAACACACACAGAACAGACACAGGAATGCACACACCAAACACCACACTCCACACACCACAAACCACACACCAACCAACCAACCAACCTAAAAAACCAACCAACCAAGCGAAAGTTGAATCGAAACTTTTTTGGCTTTTCTAATCACTTTAAACACGTAACGTTTTTTTCTCTCGCTTTGATTTTGATTTGGTTCCTTAACTCGAACACTCGAATGAGCATAATACCAGCTACCCGTACTCTTTGCCTACTTACGATCGCTTAACTATACCTATATCTCTACCTATATATAACACACATTACTACGCACACGGACACACTCAGATGTATTCCGAAAGGCCTCAGAAAACGTCGCCTCTGTTGTGCAGCCTCTCTATCTGTCATCTCCCATCATTATCTTCGCACCTCACTCACACACAAGACAGTCATGACCCACAGTGTTAAGAAACCAGAAACCAGACAACAGGCAACAGACAACAGATTCATACATCAAGTACAGTCAGTACAAACAGTCAGTCAGTCGTCAGTCAATCAGTCAGTCAGCACACCAACCCAATACAGAGAAGACTTGAACATCATCCAAGAAGCGGAGGAAGAGCAAGCTGAAAAATGACATGATGAAGCTCTAGAGAAGAATATGAAGGCACAGGCGGCATCTAGGACCAACTCTCTCCCGCGCCAGCTCCAGCTCCAGCTCTAGCTGTCTCTCTGTCTGACCTCTATCGCTCGCTTGCTCCCACTCTCACTGTGTATGTGCGTGCCAAAGCAGTCAACGGATCTCGGGCCTGCCACTGCTACTGCCACTGTCACGGCTGCCACTACGGTGCACCTGTACGGTGGGTGGTTCCCTGTGGTTCGATTCGGCTCTGATTGACTTGCTTCGGTCTTTCCACACATCCCTCTACTATGTATATTCATTTTGTGTCAAGTTTAACAGCGACGACGCCAAACGCCGGCACATTTTGTTTATTCCATTTGGCAATAAGTACGCTTCGGTTTTTTGTTAGCCAAGCCAGCCCAGCTATATCTATATCTAACTATCTCTATTTATATATATTTACTTATTAGTGGTTTTATCCCTGATTTTCTTACTCATACTTTGACGTTCTTGTTTTTGTGTGTCTTTGTTTCGAGTAAAGTTTGTTCTTTTTTTCCCTTAGTTGGTTTTTGATTTTGATTTTGATTTTGTTTCCGTTTCTCTGTTCGCTCCAGCCATCAGGAGGAGCAAGATCACCGAACGATTTGCTTTCAATGTTTGCATACGAATACTAATACCAAAACCAATGCCAGTACCAATACCAATACCTATACCTATACAAATACCAATACCTATACCTATACAAATATCCATACTAATACGAACTAGCTAACGATACTAATACCACCCGATCCCCGTTGCCTATGTACTCGATGCCCCTGTTGAGCTTTTCGTTTTGATTTTTTGCCTTGAGTTCCATTGAGTTCCATTGTATGTATCCCCAAATATGCCTATATCCACGCTCCACTTATCGATCTTATCTCTATTATCTAACCCGCTCCGTTTTTGTAACCCATCTCTCTGTTGTGACATGTTTTTGAGTTGACTTCAGTTGGGTCCGGGCCGGAAAAGGACCCGGACCAAGGCCAAGGCCAACGCCACCACCACTACCACCACCACGGCAGTGGCGGTGGCTATCTAGAATAGTATATCGAATATATCAAAACTTATAACTTGTTTCTATTTGTTTGTTTTTTTTTTACCACCTGATTTACATACTGCGTTCTTCTTCTACGTTCTTCTTCATACCAAAACCAAAAACCAAACCAAACAAACAAAAATACCAAAAACGAAAAAAAAAATATATAAAAAATAAACTAAAAAATATATATATATCGATATATACCGAAAAAATATATATACACCACAAATTCAACGATTTGAATTTGGATTTTCGAAATGAATTTGCATATTTAAAACCGGATGAAAACGGGTTAAATATACAAACGAACAAAACCCCACCAATTGAAAATTGACAAACATGAATCGAACCCATGAATATTGCCATTGAAAAAATGAAAATCGAATGCAAATCGATAAATGCATTTAGGCCCGTCGGCTTCTGGGGCAAAATTGTCGGCTCTTTGTGCGTGATCGCTGGTGTGCTGACAATCGCACTGCCGGTACCGGTTATCGTCAGTAATTTCAATTACTTCTATCACCGCGAAACGGATCAGGAGGAGATGCAGAGCCAAAATTTCAACCACGTTACAAGTTGTTCATATTTACCTGGTGCACTAGGTACATACTACTTACTACTATAACTGCTATTTACTATATTTACCGCATAAGAATGTTCTAAGTCTAAGCTTCTCCCACACCCGACTACCGTCTACCCCCCGAATCCCGTCCCCAACTGCCTGAGTGTCTCTCTTCTAATCGATTGCTCTTTGTGTATTCCCTTCAACATACACACAATTCCACTGAATGCCCCCACTGAATAGGTCAACATTTGAAGAAATCCTCACTCTCCGAGTCGTCATCGGACATCATGGATTTGGATGATGGCATTGATGCAACCACGCCAGGTCTGACTGATCATACGGGTCGCCACATGGTGCCCTTTCTGAGGACGCAGCAATCCTTCGAGAAGCAGCAGCTCCAGCTGCAGCTCCAGCTCCAGCAGCAGCAAGCGCAGCAGGGACAGCAGCAGATGGGCCAGAATGGCCTGAGGAGCACAAATAGTTTACAGTTAAGGCATAATAACGCGATGGCTGTCAGTATTGAGACCGACGTCTGACTACTAGGTGAGTGCTGGGCGAGCCACAGAGCTGTTGCTGGGATGGGAAATGCATGGGTGCACAGTTTTACAAACGAGTAACTAATCCAGTCACGTATGTACGAACATTTTAAGCAGTTCCTCCTTAGTTAAATATACCTACTACTATTATCTACTAACACTAGTCTACTAATAATCGTTTTGACTGTCCGTAGGGACCTTAAGTAAATTTCATAGGCACAAATACCTAGATACCCACTTCCCAACACTGGCTGCAAGTACGGGTACTGCAATGGGTCGGTCAAGGTATTTGGGATGACTCTCTATGGAATTACTATCTATATTTCTTCGAGTGTATATGTATTTCCAACGTTCTTATGTTGCAGTCAAACAAATGGAAAATGGACGAAATTTGCGCAGTGAAATGCTACGTTGGATGCCAGAAACGTCATCAAAAGCAGTCTAATTTAGAATTTTATTAATAAATACAATTAAAATAATAATAAATAATAATAATAATACTTAGTAAGCAGCGTAGTTGTAAATTAAACAGCAAATGTAAAACACAGCCACACACAGATACAGACATACACACACACACACACAGACACACATACAGACACACTCAGTGGCAGTTCACTCAGCTTGAATTAGAGTATTCGTATTCGTAGACACCAAAGAGTCAAACTTGGACTGGCTTTCAAGAAGGATTTTCCTTTTTTTTAATTTATTTCTCTTCTCTTAATCTCACAGACACACCACACACACGACACACACACACACAACACAGAAACACACACTCGAAGAAGATAAAGAAAAACTCTACTTGATACCTATGTTCAAATTTAGCAACTAAAACTAACAATCGTTATAGTCAACAACAAAACAACAAAAACAACAACAAAACAGATACAAACAAAAAAAAAAACAAAACCAAAAAAAAAAAACTAAAAAACTAAATCAAATTATCTTAGTAGACTAATCTAATTGGAGTTTCTTCCTTTCTTTAGAAGCTAGCAAAACAAAACAAAACCAAACCAAACAAAAACATCCAGACAAAAACAACAAACAAACAAACAAACAAACAACAAGAAACAAACATACAATATCTGCTAATTTTATTTTCAACTTTAAATTATGCTCTATTAATTAAATATTAGTCAAATATTAGTAAAATGAAACTAAACCAAAAACTAAAGAAAAAAAAAAACAAAACAAAACCAAATACAACAGAAACCAAAACTAAGGCAAAAAGCGTAGCAAAAACGAGGAGTGGTAGCGGATGCGGATGCGGAAATGAACAGCGGCCAGTCGCTGTTAAAGCAGTGCTCCTAACCTGCCCTCCAACCTGCAGTCGCCAAGCAGTTGAGCTAACGCTTGGCAGCAGTTACTTCACTGCTTGGCGGATGCTTAGTGAAGAACATGCATATAAAATAGTTAGAAAAATAGACAATTGCTATCTGATTCAAGCTTGTCCGATTGTTGGGAGATCACAATTGTAGGCTTTCAAACCTTGTCCGATCACTGATCAATCTTATAATAGTCTTATTCTATTCCGAATAACGTTGATTCGCTGTACTAAATCATTCAATTGAAACAAACAACACGAACAAATGGCATTCGCCGCTGAGTACTTAAGAAATCATTGAATCTCACAAAACTAACATCTATGTAACATAGATGTTTCAAAATGTTTAGAGTTACTAAGGGTCTTGGTTGATAGATACATACATATATACAGATTGGAAGAGATCAAAATCATGGGAAACTATATTTGTACTGCCTTGAGACATCAAATCAGCTGTTGTATTTCCACTGATCGACTAGTTGGCAGTCAGCTGTTGCCGCTCGCTAACATCAAATGAAAAATCTTAGTGGAAGAGAACCATATTCACTCGTGAAGGTCGTGAAGTCTGCTGGTTAAGGTGCTGCTAAAGTCCTGCGTTCACTGGAAAGAGACAAACACACACACATATAGACGACACAATGAACACAACAAACACACACACATACACACACACACACACATGATATTGCTAAAAACATCAAAACTGCCGTTAAGTTTAAATAATGAGTAATACAAAGATCATATATAAATAAATAAATATTAAATATATACATACATTTACATATAATTAAATATACATAAACTAAACTAAACTGCTATTTTGTAAATAAGTAAGTCAGAGCTGAAGCTGAACAAATAGACATAGATATAAAGTATATACATACATATATATATTAATTAATTAAACAACCAAAAAGAGAACCCAGAAAACCAAAAACCAAAAAACCAACCAAAATCATAGCTAACTAAAACAAGGGGATACAAGACGAACCTAAAACCAAAAATGGAAAAAAGAAAGCTGCTAACGATACAAAAACAATAATTAAACTTAGCAATTACAGACAACCGACAACAAGAACAGCAGAAACACAGAAAACAGAAAACGCCACAGTACCGAAAAACAATAAGTAACAAACCAAACAAAACAATGAACCGAGCTGATCTTCCTATTTGGAAAGCAGTACAAAATTACATACAAAAATCGAACCCCAAAGCAAAAATTACATTTAAATCAGACAGACCGTTAGGAAAGCCCGGGCACAAAAAACGATGCCAGCCATGATCTCTCATTGGAGGCCTTCTGCTTTCGTCTAGTTTAGTTTAAGTTAGTCTTCCTCCATTACAGCGATGACCTCCAGGCAGAGTGAAGTGTTAGTAGTAGAAGTTTGTACTGTATTTTCAAGGGAACACCGACCCGATACCGATACATAGTACCTGATGGTAACAAACGCTGAAGGAAATATGGTCATCGCTGATCTACTCGTATTATATGTATTTCATTGGGGAACACTCACCTACCAGTTCCGTCAGAGTTGTCAGCTTGTAGTGCTTAGGTACGTGTCTTTCCTATGTCCCTCACACGCACGCACAACAACGCAAGCCCACACAAACACAAACACACTCCACTCTACACCACACCACAGCACAACACCAACACCAGAACACATAGGATCCAATAACGAACACACATTCATACTCGTTGGTGTATCAAAGACGATTACACGCTTTGAGTCGAACACTTGATTTTCCGTCTTCCTAATTTTTGTGATTTGATCCAATCAAAATCTTCTCATTTGAAAACGTTCAATCTAGCGACTTCAACTTTTGTCAAGCTTAAAAAACAAAACAAAACAAAACAAAACAAAAAGAAAAGAAAGAAATTGCATGCGCATTCGATAACTACCAGAATATTTGTAGATGAATTATCGAGTATATCGCACTGCTTCCACTGATTAGGAGAGCTTCTGCAGTGCAGTGCGGCGGAGTTTCTGCATGCAAATCGATCAATGCCATATCTAAATTTCTCTATACCTAGAATCCTACCTACAAAGCTTTGCTTCTACTGCTCTTGCTAACCGAAACGAAACGAAACCAAACCAAACAAAACAAAATATTACAAAAAAAAGAGAACAATTAAAATAAAAAATTGCACAAGTTCAGGAGCCACGAATGACTTTGGACCACAGAAGAAACATCTCACAAAACAAAACAAAAAAAACGAAAAATAATAGAATGAGAATGATAAGGGGAAGGGGAAAGGGAAAGGGGAAGGGAGGAGAAGGAATACCAAACAGAGAACTAACCTACAGCATGCATATATACATACATACATATATGATATTTATATATATACAGACATATATATACACATATATATAAATGTGTTTTTGTTAGATATGCGACTGAATAAAAGTTTTTATTGATTTGCTGCTTGATGTAATTAAGAAGAATTTAAACCGAAACCTAAACCTAAACCTAAATTAAACGATAATATTTATACCAAAGAAAATCTGTAAATATGTAAAAATGTAAAACGCAAAAACGGAAACCCCAAAAAAAGAAGCGAAGCGGAGAGAAAATAACGTAAAATAGATCGAATCAATTTACAGCTTTGAAAACCGTCCACACGCACACAGCAAACGAAAGCGGATGTAAAAGAGATAGCGAATAGTGCGAGCATACAAGACAAGGAGAGCAAGAATGAGAGGAGACAGACAAGGACAGATAGAGAGAGACAGAGAGGAAGGAGGAGAATCAACTAGAACCGATTGACATTCTAACGTATACTTGATTTGGCCTTAAGCGCAGTCCGACACACACCATACGCCCAAATACACAGGTACATAGGTGCACAGATTGAAGCCACAGATATACATATGTATGCCGTTTGTAACAAAAGTTGAAGTATTACAGCCTCACATTTTACCAACATATATGTTCGTGCCTCATTAGCATTGCCATTGTCATAGTCACAGCCAGATGCATGTACGCAGATTCAGTTTGGTTTTAGTTTGTTCGATTCTGCGGTTCGGCCAGTCGATAGAGCCAACAAATGAGCAATAACAAAAGATAGAACACACATAAATACTCTTAACATTAACTATGATAACTACACAGTAATCTCTGCATAGAAATCCAAATGAATAATACTACGAATAAACGTATAAATAATAATGAATTAAACAAAATTAAACGTAATTAAACGTAAAAAAAAAACATATCGTCTTAAAGTCATGCAAAACAAAAACAAACCAAAACCAAATACAAATAAAATATTTTTTTTTTTATAAGCGTAATTTACAAGCTAATATTAAATATAAAAAACCACAGGAAATCGCTAAGGAAATAAAGCTTACTATTAAATCGAACGACGGAGAGAGATAGCCGATAGGCAGATGTTAGTTTTAGAGCAGATCAGATAATCGTACGAGCGAATAGAGTGCGAGAGCGAGAGCGAGAGAGAGGGAGAACCAGGCCAGGCTACAACTAAAAGTGATATAAACCAAAAACAAGTCATAAAACCACAAAAAAACATACAAAAAAATTACAAAAAAAAAAAATAACTTGCCAAAATAATTAAGTGAACAAGCGGAAGAAAAGACGAAGAGGCACAAAAGGGAAAGTAAGAGAACGAAAAGGAAAGGAGCAGAAAAGGAAAGACGAGAGGAAACTATGCGCTAATCAGAAACAGAAATAAGATCCTAGATCTTAGCAGACAGCAGAAAGCAAAAGAAAATGGGATCCAAAACCAACAAGAATTTACTGCAACAGAATCCAGCTGCTTTCCAGCCCCCTCGAGCTGGGCCCCGTCCGCTTACCCTTCTTCCATTGGGGCAGGTAGACAGTTCCCCTTGCCCCCGCTAAAGCGCCTGCCCACTGTCCCTCCCCCCTGCCCAGAGATTATGTTGTTGCTCGTTTCAAGATCTATGTATGTATGAAGAGGAATTGGGAGGAGGCATGAGAAGTGAGATGAAGCGTATAATAGTATGAATAAACACAAAGACTGGAATAAAAACAATATGAAAATAATTAAAATACATTTACACACACACATTCATACATTCATGCATGGGCAGCACACATACACATACGAACACATCCATAGATGAGTGTGTGTGTGTGTGTGTGAGTGCAGGTCCGCAGGCATCTTGACATCCCATTCCATCCTCAACCTGCTTTGATCGAAGGCCAAGAAGTTCAGTCTCGTCTCCCATTCTCCATTCTCCAATCCCCATCCCCATTCGCGGCTTTGATTTCGATTCCATTTCGAAACTACATTTCCATTCAGTAAAGCGCAACAACTACCAGAAACCAGAGAATATTTAGCTCAAGCATGCGAAATACAACAATAAAAGTAAATGAAAAGTAAAAATAAAAATTATAATAATATGCCTAGAAAATATAATTAATAAAAGGCACACTCACTCGGACACACACAGACACAGATCAAAGTATTGGGCCCAGATATCCAGATGAAGTTCAGGCAATAGGCGGGAAGGAAACGGAACAGAACGGAAAGAGGAAAGAGGAAGAAGGCAGGACTTGGAAGAGAGATGGGGAGGAATAACGTTAGCAGGAAGATAAGAGAGCGGCACCACTCCATGTAAATTATACGTACAACAATAACGACAACAAAAGATGGGCATATGGAAAAACTACTTATGAATTAATGCTAAACAAATTTACATATATACATAAATATAT